TTCCCTCTTGTCTATACAATCGTCTTCGCAGCGTTCCAGGTTGTCTCAGCAAGCGTCAAAGCCACGTCCAGTTCTGGTTTTTTCTTTTTCTTTTTCTTTTTTCGCTGTACAAAAGTCACTGACGCGCAAGACGCCCGCTCGACACTACCTGGCACTCGAACATTTGCAACCATCCATCAGCTTCGAGGAGTATACACTTCCACACTTCGTGGTCGCCCGCCCCCCCACCACACGGTCAGCTACGCACTACGGAGCATCCTCACGCGCAGTCTCCTTTCGATTCTGGCACCGCTGCTCTCGGCACCATCATGGCAGACTCTTCACTTGATCATCGCTCGTCTTCTGGTCAGAGCTCTGCTCTGGGTCTGAACAGCAAGCGACCGAGCATTGCCAATCCCTCGCCCATGCTCGGCAGCGAAGCGGGCCGCTCCGAGTCTCGTGCAGGTAGCATATCCACCTTGTGGAGCTCAGCAGACTGCCCATTTTTCCTCGACACAATCGCCACATCACAAGCGGACGTCCTACGACGCTCAAGCGGCGCGGCATCTTGCGCCGCAGACTCTGCTCCCAGGATCATGCTTCGAAACGCCAGCTCCAGTTCGGCTTCTTCAATTCAGTCGTTGGCACAAAATCCTCGGTTCGAGATCCTTGAGCACCTGGAAGAAGATAGCTTGACCGTACCTGACGCGCAGTCGCTTCGCGTTGAGCCTACATCGCCGCGAGCACTGCCAGCCAGCGAGGTTCGCGGAGCTTCAGCTGCTACACCGACGAGCACCACTTTTTCCCAACCTAAAGGCACGCCAACACGTTTGCAGAAGAGGAGGCCTTCCGCACTTCAGCTTGATCATCTCCGGCACTCGCCACGTCGCGACATCAACGCCGCCTCCATGCCCATTTCGGTCAGCTACGACAGCCAACTGTACACTGCGCGGTCCTTTTCACCTGGACGCAGCACCTTGAGCCAGAACACGCCCTTGTCCTCTGCATTCAGGACTCCGACCAACGCTTCACATCAAAGTCACGGTGCTCGGTGTGCCCAAGATGAATTGCGCGCCGACGAGGAGCCTCACAAAGTCACTGAGGGACGCTCTTCTGGTTCAACTCTCGCGTCTGCAGACCCTGCTCTCTATGGCAAGGCACAGCGATACTTCAGCCCATCGTACAGCATGGATTCGCCCATGCATGGCCAGCATCCTCCCGGCGCCTTTCGACAGGCTGACATAGCTTGCTCGCCGTCTCAACGAAGAACGAACCTGCGACATTCCGCCTCAACGTACGGAACCGAGGAGTCCATCGAGGTCTTCACGCCACGCGATGACTCAGCAAGCTCTCGGTCAGGATCTTCGATGGAGTCTACGCATGAACAGCCGCCTGAGACCAAGCAGGAGTTTCAAACACTATCGCTTTCGCTTGGCACCCAAAGCCGTCCTGCTACTGCACCGGCCGAAGACTCGATCTTGTGGACCTCTCATCACCATTCTTTACGAGAAGCATCGAAGCCAGTGCCGAGGTCACCTACCTCTCCTCTACAGACAATAGCTAGCCGATCCTCTGCCGTTCGTCACCACCGTGGCGACGTGGACAGACCGCGCACGAGCGAGAACGTCACGCCACCACATTCTGCGAGTAGTGGTCGCTCCGACTTCAATGCGGAGATGGAGCTCACCCTCTCGACAGATACTGCAATCACGATGAAGAAGCGAGGACTGAGCGCTAGACTCCGCGCTGTATCAACGCCTAAGCTGCGAACGGCTGCAGCTTGGCGATTCAACTCCACCGATTCATCGGCTAATCCTCTTCCAACGATCGCGCATCCTACGTCACCTCTGTCCAGTGCCGTGCCGCTAAAGAACCAGACCGCAGCTACCAAGGCCGATGCAACCCGTCCAATTCGACC